AGCTGCATTTTCTTTTTTTTAAGTCCAGCATGCCCTGATTTTAATTACTACACTCACCTTTTTTTGTGCTGGGTGAGAAGACAGCCTGAGGGAATTCACAGAACATTCCACACCCTAGAGCTCTTGAGCCACTGAGAACCTAATGAGCCAGAGAGAGAAAATTCACATCTTTCTGAAATGACAACCAAAAATACATTGCATTGATTGTATTTTTTTATATTAATAAAATCTTAACTTAGCTAAGTTATATATAAAAGGAAGAAGGAGTGATGGTTAAGAGCTTGGGGTTTGGAATCACAGTTACGGTTTTTAAATTCTGGTTCTACCATTTACTTAGCTGAGATAGGGGGCAAGTAATTTAATCTCCCTGAGCTTCAGTTTCCTCATTTGTAAAATGAGGAAGTAAGATATATCTCTCAGGATTGTAATGGAGATTGAATATGATAACGTGTAAAAAAAAAAAACCTTAGCACACACAAAAATCCTGAGAGCCAACAGGAATACTAGCTATTGTTATCATGGATGTTTACTTGAACCATGTCTATACGGATTTGGGAGAACAGGTTATGTTTACTTTGCAAAAACATGCTTTTCTGATTCTATTGTTGAGTTTCATCACACTTTGCTATAATTATTTGCTTAATGTCTGACTATCCCCGCTAGACATTAAGATCCTTGAGAACAGCGCTCAGTCTCTCTCATCCACCCTCAAACAGATGACTGAACACAATGCCTGGCCTGTCTTTTCTGTGGGGGTGACCAGGGTAGGCTACACCAGCTCCCCGTGGATGGCAAGTCAAGTCATAACAGGGGTTTGGGTGCAAGGAAGACAAAAATAGGAGGTGAAAATAAGAGGTGTTCCTCAACCCATTCCCTCAGGATTACTGTGAAGGTTACAGGGCTCAAATATGAGGTGAAGTATGAAATGCATCAGAATTAAGGCCACCAAGGGTTGTTCTAGCCCTGTCTCTCTCAAGATGAAGTGAGAGACGTGAGCAACAGCCTGGAGTCCCAGGCGCAGCCATGTGGATGAGAAGAACTTCACCCAATAGTTCAGAGCACATTTTAACACTTTAGATCTTTATGGTTCTTTTTATGGAAAATTTTAGGTGATTAAATCTAGTTTAATGTCTCCGTATAGAAGTAAATTTTTTCGCTATTACTCGTTTGCCAAATTTGCATTCAATTATTCACTTATATAAATGAATTAAAGTCATACCGGCAGCTTTTGATTAGTCTTATCAACTAGCAGAATATCTGAGAGATGCTCCAAAAACAATGTTCTGATCCATAAACGAAGTTCTGTCCTCAACTGACGATCATGGATCCGTCTGGTGCTAAGCAGATTTATAGCCTTTCAGAATAATGAAGAAACATTGGCAATTGTAACAGCTCCAGAGTGGTAAATCTGGTCTAGGGCCAGGAGGGTGTTGTGAACAGAAGAAAGACTTGCAACAGATCATCTGAAGTTTGGATAATCTTGTGAGGTATTGAAGTCAGCTTCTTAGCATTGCCAGAAATGAAGAAAGACTTGCAGGCAGAGCTGAAGTTTCCCACACAGGAGGTGTGCCTTGGAACAAATTTGAGTGGATATTACATTCCTCTCTCTCAATCCTGTCTTTCAATAGTATAAGTCTGTTTTTGCCAGATCACGCACGCTGATAGGTGTGCATTCAAGTCACTGTGGAGTTAGTCGGCTATGCGTGTCTTTCAACAGAATGAAGAAGAAAAAGTCTCTGGAAGAGAAAGAACCAGGTCACAAAAGCCCTCACATCTGAATTGTTAAAAATTATTGGTGTAGACTTGGAGTCTTTTAAAGACCTCAACCCTAAATGGGTCCTATTTATTAAATGTCTGTCTCTGACAGAATTCACAAGGAATTCAAACGGAAGTGGTGTTTTCCTTGGAATAGAGTCTATATTTAGTGACTTAAGGAAAATTAAAATATATTTAAAAATAGGAATAAGTGAACCAGTTTTTAATATAAGCCAAATTCATGATTCCTAAGTCCCTTCAGAAAGTTTCAAGATGCTTAAATGAGTATAAAGACATAATTCCTGTCATTGGAGCTGCCTGGGTAATTTATCCTGATCTGTAACAGCACTATGCACGTGTGCTTTGTATGCTCCTTTAAATAAATCCATAGTGCTGATCTGTGGTTTGTGATTTCTATCACCTTCACCCCCAATTGACCACTGTTAATAATTAGAGACTTACTTTGAATCAACCACGGTACCTGGCACTAGCATCCTATTTTAGAAAGCTAAATACTTAGGAAAAATCTCAGACTCTTTCTTCCAGTATTACTGAGAGTAATACTTAGACACAGTTTCAGGAAAGAAGACAGCCTAAACACTAGGGGGAGAAAACAGAGAAAAACACAAAGTATCATGAAATTGTAATCCTATAATAAGGTCCTCCAAGGAGAAATTTTCAGTCTGCTCATTCCTTTAGTTGTCTTTGCATTAAAAGATGACAATGGATGGATCTGATGCCAGCTGACTACAGGACTTCCAGATGTTCTAAAGAGGTCAAATGGCGTGCACCTGCAACTTGGCAGGCTCTCTGCTTGTTTTATGTGCATAATCTTGTTCAAACATCATAAAAGCAGTGCTGAGTGTGGAAATCCAGGATATCCTTTTTAGATGTATAACATGATATTTAATGAAGGTATCTTTTATAAAACTGTCAATTGAACACTCTTGATCTGGCCAGCTCATTTCTCTTTCATCTCTGCACTTCCCTCTTCAGTCCTCTTTTGGGCTGTTTTTTTGTGCAGACGGAAGGTGTTTTTCTCTACTTACATGAACCTTCTGTTTCTGCCATTGCCTCTGATGGGAGCAGTTAGGAAGTATCTTGATTCCCAGAGCTCAGTCAGTGCTGCAGTGCAGGATGAGGTGCTTACCCCGAGTTGTTCAATTGCAGTGTTCCTTGCTTCAGCTATCACTCTGATTTCCCAGGACATTTCCCAAGAGTAAGAAAAGGAGGGATCACAGGGCTTAGGTACTGTGTACATCACCCATCCCAATTGCAAACGCAGGCCAGGAAATTGCCTCAGTGGCCAGATCTGAAAATAGGCGAGGGGACCATAAGTCCCTAATCTGTAAATGTTGCTTCCTGTCCTGCTAGCTGGTGGCTGGGCCCATGCTGTTACACTACCACTGCTGGGACTCAAACCACACCAGAAAGCCTGCCTGTGCCCAGATGGGAATTCAGACGTAGTGACATGCCTGTAGGAAGGATGAGGCAAAGCTCAAGAAAGGCACAGGCTGCTCACACCAGCTGCTGCCCCAGTGCCATGTGGCCCTGATACCTAAGCTGGGCCCTGGCCCTGGACCTGGCTGAGGGGGGCCGGCTGGGGAGGGAGCCACCCTTGGCCTGTCTTTCCCCTTCTTACCCTCACCTCTTACTTGCCTCTCTCAGCTCCTCTGTGGATTCTGTATGATCAAAACAGATCCTTCCCACCCCAACTTCATTGTACACTGAAAAGCACCATTAGGGAGGGAATGGCGTTCATCCGTTTTTGCGTCACGATGGAGGTCTATGGGCCAAAAAAGTGAGAATCACTGCTTTATTTAAAAAACCTATTCTTCAGGAAGAGGCGAGGCAAGCATGAGAACACACAGCCCCTGAGATTTTGGTATATCTTTCTCATTCCTTATTTGTTTCTCTGGGTGAATGCTCCTCCCCTGAAAGGGTTTCCTCTAGCCCTCCACTCTGATTTCCTTTTTCGTTCTCAGTGCATTACTTGTACCTTTTTATAGTGACCTCCCCAAGGCAGGGGCTGTCTTGTTATCTTCGCATCTGCTCCAGTCATCAGCAGAGTACTATGGCTTGCCATCCAGGAGACACTTAATAGCAATCTGTCACTAAATGATGGTTGTTTTTTATTCATCTCCCACTAGATTATAGTGATAAGCAAGATGCTTTTCTGTCTGTTACTGACCTTTTATGGGCACTGCAGAGGAGGGAAAACTTAACTTTTCTTCCTCTACTGTCCTAGGTTCTCCACTGGGGCTCTGTAAATTAGACTGACAAAGGACAGATTGACAAGAGAAAAACAGAGTTTATTAGCATGTGCATCACACATACACATGGGAGTACCCAGTGATGAGTAACTCAAAGGGGTGGTTAGAACTTGGGCTTATATAGCATCTTAACAGATGAATAATATATTTGTAGAGAAGTGAGAAGACAAAGGAAAAGGACTTTGAGCTTCTGGGGGGCAAATTGTGGGAAGGCAGATATATAGGGGAACTAATGGGAGAAAAGGGCAAATTAGGAAAGTTTGTTATGTAGGTTCCTCTGGTGCCATCTCTGGGCTGATTAGGGTCTAGAGTTTCTGGTGATTAACTTCTGGCCTTCCTGGTAGAGAGGGGAGGAGGGACACCTTTACAAGTTTATGTCCTGCCTTTAAGGCAGATAGGGGGAGGGCGGAGAGCTTTTCCTTTTCTCAATTGCCTTAATTTCAAAATAATCCTTATGGCAAAGCGACATGTTTGGGGGTGGCACATTCTGCCACCTTTCAGCACCTCACACCATGATTTGCACACAGCAGGTCCTTAATAAATGTTTGCGGAATTGAACCAAAATTAAAGCAGAGGCAACCTTCCCTTTTCTAACTACAGTCTGCCTAAATAATTTACCCTCCGCAACAGAATAAATGGATGGGAAGCTCTGTGAGCTTCAGACAGATCCTGGAGGAAAGATGCTGTCTGACCCGGGAGGCCTGGGCTTCAGCTGGCTTCGCTCCTACTTTTCCTGCAGCAACCTCTTCATCTTCCTTTCGGAGTGTTGGGAGATATAATCAAATGATGGCTGTAAAAATACTTTGAGAAAAGTTTAAAGCATTATACAGATACAAGGTATTATTACTTCCTGTACAAGCTCCAACAGCAAAAATTTAAAATGAGCATTTAGTAAATGTTGGCTAGTAGTGTTAAATACTGTTTACTCCCCAAATAAGTAAGCTATGATACTTGTCTGATACTTCCTCACAGGTATGAATTAGGAGCTGCTCTGTTTATTGGATGGGCAGGAGCCTCACTCTGCATAATTGGTGGTGTCATATTTTGCTTTTCAATATCTGACAACAACAAAACACCCAGGTATGAAAAAGAGACAAAAAGTACAATACTATTCTAAATTATTACATATGGGACAAATTATAGATAGTTCATGATTCTTAGAAACTTCAAAAACCCAGAATTGGGAAAGGTTAGGAATATACAGTAAATGTAATATTAAATATAGTAAATATTATATTGACTAGAATAAATATAGTTAATTATAGTTAATTAAAAAAAAAAAACCAGAGCTCATCACTCTTACATTCCAAAGCTATTTCTGTAAGTAGAAATATGGGTCTGGCTATGGCGCATATTCTTCACTTTGGTCTCATCATGATTTTCACTAAGGCAGAAATTGCTGATGAAGGTCACTACGGTCTCCTGGGTTCCACGGAGATGAGTTTTAAAGAGAATAACTGAACAAATGAACAAGCCATGTTTCTCTTGCAGAGATTCTCTTTGTCTCACCAACTGTTCAGAAATAACACTGAAATATTTCTTGGGGTGAGGGAGAGGCGAGAAGAAAGCTAACTAAAAGTGATCAGGGAAAGACTTAAACTTAGGTATGACAGAAATAGGGGGAAAACAGTTTCTTCCCATTTTTGTTTGCCCTACATGTAAAACAGAATCTTCCAAATTGTGTTTTGCCTTTCAGAATGGGATACTCATACAATGGGGCCACATCTGTCATGTCTTCTCGGATAAAGTATCATGGCGGAGAAGGAGATTTTAAAACCACAAACCCTTCAAAACAGTTTGATAAAAATGCTTACGTCTGAAAAGAGCACCTGTGCAAGCTGTGTCTCAAGTTTGTTATAAAAGTGAACTGTTCACAAAATGATCCCATCAAGGCCCTCCAATAATTAACACTCGAACTGTTTTTAAAATATGAATTTGAAGAATTTGTTGATTATATGGATGTAAATGTTCTTATATGGTTATATACTAATCATTTCCCTGGCTTTCTATAAAAAAATAAACATGTTATTTACAGGATTTGTATATATTTTATACATTTATAGAACATGTAAAGTATTTAGCATGAAAGGTTCAAGAAGTATTCGTAATGTAGCCTTCTTTCTTTTCGTCCATGTATTAAACAGGAGGTACATATGGAGTGGTGTCTTGTAAACAGTATGGGGGCAACCTGAGACTATGCCTCAAAAGATGTTTGGGTTGAATGGACATGTTACTGGCTGCATAGAGTTGATTTCTACCTTCTTACACCTATCTGTCACCACTGTAAATTCAGTGACTGCTCAAGGAAGGGCTAATGGGGCCAAGATGTTATTGCCCTTTACCTGGCACATCCGCCTTAAATAACCACTTAGGCTTCTGTACAGAAAGCAGATTCCGGGGTGGAGCATCAGCTAGAGCCCAGCTGGAGACGCTGGTCATGGCTGACTTTGGAGCCAACAAAGGAAGTCCTGGAGACTGTGTGGTACCTGCCTCACTCAGAACCGATGGGCTGAGTTCCGGCGTGTCTCTCAGGTCCTGTTTGGAACTAACTGGGTAATGGAGAGACTTACCATTTTTCAAGATATTTAAGTTGCTCCAGGGATCTCTGAACAAAGAGTGATTTATTCCTAGAGCCAGCCCTTTTACCATGGGCCCGTAAGGGCAGGCATAACGTTATCTCAGTTAATGCACGGTGTGTGTATGCCAGGCACTGTTCTAAACACGCTACAACCTCTAACTCACTCCATCCTCACAACTGCCCTCTGAGGTGAGTATTGTTAGGATCCTGAGGATCCTGAATTGACAGAGGCGGAAATGAAAGCAGAGTTTAAGCAACTTGCCATAGTGAGTGACAAAACCAGGACTCTGCACGAGGCAGTCTAGGGTAAAATTATATAGTTTCAAGCCATGGATAAGAATTGGAATCTGTGTTACCTGTGAGCAAGATGCTTTCCAATACTAATCACAGCGTGGGTGAATATAACATTTTCCTGAAGTATGAAAGACTTAAAAGGGAAAACCATATTGTTTGGAAGTACTCAATGGAAAGAAAAGGAAATGAACAAGTTTGTTACAAAAAAAAAAAATATATATATGTATATATATATAAATATAGATATACACACACACACGTATATTCCAGACCATGACAATATTGGAACTATCTTTTCCAGGGATACAAATGGACTGAAAGCCATAAGGGAAGGTTAGGTGCTACAGGCCAGTGTGGGGGCAGGATTTTGTGAGTGTGTGTTTAAAACAAATTTTTTATTTCAGAGCTGCGCTGGTGAAGGTAATGTTTAGATGTACTGAACTATTCTAGCTCCTGAAGAATTTAGGGAGAGTAAGGGGTGAGAATACAGAAAAGCTCTGTCAGTGGCCAGAAACATAAACTCTGCATCAGTGAGGAGAAACATAAGGTGATGGTCCAGAGAAAAATGAACAAACCAAATCTGGTAGGACAAAAGGATAGGACTGAACAGAGGACTAAACAGAGGAGTTAGAGGATTGGCATTTACGACACAGACATACCAGCTTAATTTAAATATTGGGTTTACTTAGCAGAAGTTCATCCTGTTTCCTTAACCCTTTCTGTTCAGGACCAAATATGTGGCAGACACAGAACTTAGGAACTGAGACCTGGCTGAAAGCCTGCTCTGGTCACTTTCTAGTTGTATGGCTTTTGGCAAGTTATTTAACTCTCAGTTTCTCACATCTTTAGGATGAGGAGTATAACAATAACTACGCCTCAAAGTTGTTCTAATTAAATGCACTAATAATGCATGTTAAAAAAAAAACAAAATAAATCCCAGTAGCTCAATAAAGATCTGTTGAATAAGTGACTGAATGAAGACAGTGGCCCGTGTGCCCTCTTAGGCATGGAGTGTTTTTTAGGTTATCTCTGTCTTACCATATGAAAATTTGATTCGGAGTTTACTAAAGCTTTTAGAAACTTACAGATAAAGTGAGTACATTTGCATAAAATTCCCCCTCTGGGAAGTTTTTAAAAGCTGAGAGTGGACCACAAGTAAAAAGGACTCTGCTGGGACAGAAACAGATAAAATAATTGTTCTAACTTTTCGATCAGCATGTTATAAGACATAAGTACCCAGGCAAGCTTAAATCCCCTCATAAGTAAGTTTAACTCAGAAATTACCTCTAATAACTCAGCCACAGTCACAATGATGTAATGGAGGGCTTTACTTGAAAGATTGACAAAATGAAGAGAGATCTAAAACCTAACAAACCATTTAGTTAAAATGTTACTTTTTTTGGAAACAGTACAGATAGTACCACAAAATATAAAAAAATGCAAAAACCAGTTTATATGAACTTTTTGACTGTTGACAATGTCACTGTTAAGAATAGAACGAAATTAGTTTTGAGGTATTTCATAATATGGGTTGAGCATTTAAAAACAGTGAAAAAATCTACATACACATGTGAATTCAGTAATAACTCAACCTTTTCATATTCTGATAAATTAATTGACATTTAAAATAGCTATATTGTATTCATAAAATATCCAAGGTAAAGATTATGCTGCAGAAATAGTATTTAAAGTTCTAAAATAATTGTTTAATAACAACATGCTTACAATGCCTCAAAGCTGCACATATGGTCAAGGTACTTCTGGAAAATGTATTTAACATGGGCCTAGCTATATTTTTATACTTCTAAACTTACTTCTATATGAAAAATAAGCAAATTACTCTTAAGATTTCACTGATTCCACTAATTCAGTTTTAAGGATACTAACAGAATTTTATAAGAAAACACTTCCAATGTGACAATGTACATAAAAAAGATACCAAAAAAAGTTTTAATTCAAACCAAAACTTGCTATAAGTTTAAAAAAATTCACTTAAAAGTTAGTAAAAAAAAAATAAACACTAGAGTACCATTCTAAAGAAGAAGCTTTTTATGATGTCAATGACATGTTATTTTTAAGCAGCAGAAGTCTTAAACACCTTTATAGGCTTCAAAATACTGTTGACAATTTGTTTTTCAATACTGTATCAGGTGCCCTGAAAGAGACCCTTGTTCTCCACATCAGCTTCCTTGTTACTGTGGGAAATACTGTAAGGCAGGAATGTTAGAATCCTGTAGGAAGACTACGGAAATACTGCGATTGTGAAATACTGTTGGCCTCTGGAAGGATCTTCTGACACGTGCGATTCCAGTTACACATCTGAAGAGTCACTCCAGTCCGTCACAGTTACTAAGCTGCTTTTCACTGTGCTCGATTCATCTTGAAGTCCTGTGGAGGGAGAGACGGAGGAAGAGGAGGCCCAGCGATTAAACCAGCACATTGTCCAGCATGTAACGGTCCATCACTTCATACTGTAACTTATCACTCAGTGTCTGAATCTATTCACCAATCCTCACCCCCAGCCCCCACAAGCTGCGTAGGAGGCTGCAGTACAATCCGGCCAGGAAATGGCCCCATGTCTAGGATACCCTCACAGGACCCTCGTGTGGAAGCTCCCGCCTGGCATCTCTCCTTCCCTGCGTTCGGCACAGGGCCTGGATGTTGACAGTGCTCAACTTGTTTTGTTGTTGTTATTGACTCTGAGTGACTAGGTGGTAAAGAAAGGAGAATAAAATCAACAAGCCACGTAGGGATTAAATGGTAAAAACAGATTTTCTAGGGTCGATGAGCTTAAATATGAAGTTAGTTAAAAAGTACCTTAAGCCACTGAAATAGCACAGTGCAGAGAATTTTACTTGAGTTTGACTCTAGACATGTTTTCTTTGAGGGGCATGGGGCCATGGCATTGGGAGAAGAGAAAGGAAATGTACTCAGGGCATCTGCTCAACCCTGTGCACTTACAGAGTCACTATAAGGTAAACATGGTCTTTTGGTTTTTCAACTATTAGAATTGATCTTGAGACACAGCACAGATAACTTCATGACGGTGACAAAACAGAAGGTAAATATTCTGATTTGACAACGTGTGAGTAAAGGCACAGCTCACACTTTGGTGGAGAGAAAAGGTGAAGGGCAGAGGCAGCCAGGGGTGGCGAGAGAGACTGCTGAAAATGCAAAAAGCAAATGGAGAGTTGACATATATTGATTTAAAATTACAAATAGGGGTACAAAAATACTGAAGAGAGGGCATGAGAGGTGGAGTGAGTAGAGAAAAGGAGCCAAATCCTCATCTGTCTTAGCAGGATGTCAATGGTTAATGTTTCAAGTTGATGAGTCTAGAAATAGAGGTCTCAGCCCTTTACTCAGAGACGCAGGTACCCATCAGAGGCTCTAACTCAGAATCAATGGGAGGCACTGCTGGTGGAAAGAGGTGGCATCAAGGGGCCCTTCTGCAAGACTTGACTTCCACCATGTGCAAGAATTACTTTGATAAAAAATATAAATTACATTTTCTAATTTTAAAAATGAAATGTATTGAGAGTTAAGTTACTGCACATATCTGGACTCTAGGGCTTATCTAGGAACAATTTCAACTAATGGTTTCATTTGCCATTCATCCCACAGCTACCATGCTCCAAGAGAAATCTTCTTTCAAAGAAAATAAAGAAAAATATTTAATATTTAATATGTAAACAGATTAATATGGAAAGACTGCCTGAAAAATGGCCTCATTCAGGTGTATGAGTAGAAATTTTAATTTCTAGGGGGCACCTGCATGAAGAGAATATCTGTATGGGCATTTTCAAAAATAATGTAAAAAAATTTAAAGACTAAGGATTAAATAAAAATAATTAGTAAATATATACAAATCAGTAAGTTGTACACATTCAGTCCTTATTCAAGTAACATCAAGAAAGCATCAAGATCTTTGTTATGCCAACAGAGTGTTTTTGTCTGGTGACATATTAACATAGTTTAATGAAATATTTATGAAGCTGAAATACAAATAATTGGAAAATGGACTGAGTTGTACTGGACACTAGAATATCGAACCTTCTCCCTTTGGCCCTTTGGGATTAGGTGCCCCCCAGGCACTTGGCACTTGAGTACAATTTGATTCATTCTTCACAGGTGGATGTTCTTTCTGTTCTTTCCCAGTCTTCTT